GGCCAACATGGTGAAACCCTGTCTCTACTAAAAATACAAAAATCAGCCAGGCGTGGTGGTGGGCGTCTGTAATTCCAGCTGCTTGGGAGGCTGAGGCAGTAAAATTGCTTAGACCCCGGAGGTGAAGATTGCAGTGGAATGCCATTGCATTTCAGCCTAGGTGACAGAGCGAGACTCTTTGTCTCAAAAAAAAAAAAGTAGACTTGCCCTCTTAAATGTTAAAACAGTCTACAAAGCTACTTAATTAAAATAGGAGGTAGACAGCAGAAAAAGTAGAAAAGTTACACATGAGCATAGATTGGTTAACACTGAATTTGGTCAAGGACAATGAAAACAGCTTGTAAAGGAGAGGATCCAACATTCTGGTAAGGTGGGTATTACACAGAGAAAAACAACATACACATTGAGTTTTAGTTCTGTGATGTATCCTCATTTGAAACTGATTTTGTGTTGATTTTGAATTTAAAATGTTCTAAAGTTCTTCTAAAATTAGTCAACTATTTTAATAAAATGATTACCGGTTAAAAGTTGCTAATAAGTTTTTGTAAATTCAGCTTTATGTGGTAATTCCCTTATTGTAAGGTACATGATTATTTTAAACTCGAGTGATAATTAGTGGTGACAAAAAGTTTGTGATAGACATTCCCCTGATATTTAAAGTTAGCTTTGAACTTTTAAAAATTACTAGTGATTGGCTGGGCGTGGTGGCTCACGCCTGTAATCCCAGCACTTTGGGAGGCCCAGGCGGCGGGCGGATAACCTGAGGTCAGACCAGTCTGGCCAACATGGTGAAGCCCCTTCTGTACCAAAAACGCAAAAATTAGCTGGGCGTGGTGGCGCGGGCCTGTAGTCCCAGCAACTGGGGAGGCTGAGGCAGGAGAATTGTTTGAAACCGGGAGGCAGAGGTTGTGTTGAGGTGAGATGGGGCCACTGCACTCCAGCCTGGGGGACAGAGGAGACTCCATCTCCAAAATAAAATGAAAATTATCAGTGATTCTTGGTTAAAAAAAAAAAAATCCTAATTAAATCCTAATTACAGAATTACTGCATGCTATTGTTTAATCCTAGCACCCAGCTGTTGGCTTGCATCCTTCTAGATTAATTCGCAGGCTCAGGGACCTGCATCCCAGTGCCCTGACCACAGCTGTGACCCGAGGGAAGCCAAAGTGTTCTCTGCTCAGGCTCCTCGCTGCCGTAGTAACTGAGGAAAGAGTAGCCGGTGCCTGTATCTTGCTGGTGTCCAAGACCTTCCTGGAAGGTGGGTGACCCAAGCAAGACCTGAAGACGGCAACAGTGCAGTCGGAGAGTGCAGCTCGGCTCTCTTGGTTTCCCCCTTCCCCGAGGTAATTTTCCCCAGCGGGGAAGGTGTTCTGTGGCAGCGTCGCCATACACCCAGGGCCTTCCAAATCCAGCTGGTCCCCAAGCGACCCGGTTTTCTCATCCCAAGTCACCTTGAGTAGAACCACAGCGGGCTTGGAGAGGTTTCCTAGTGGGCCAGAGAGGCTTCTCACCTGTTAAAGCCAGATGCGCGCGGTTAAGGAGTACAAGGGGCACAGCGGACCACAGCCAGGAAAGATTGCGACCCCGGGCGGCTAGGAGCCAGAAGCCCTACCTGTCTCGAGGTAGAGAGCGGCGCAGGGCAGAACTGGGCTGTTGGAGGAATACGCCTTTCCCTCCCCTCTGCCTTCCAAAATACAGACGTCAGGGAAATGCAATTGTTTATTAGAATTCAAGTTTGTGTTGACAACCACTCAACAGAAGGTGTAAAACAAAAACAATCCACGTCAACCTCCCCCGCCACCCCGGCTTCCTGGACTAAAGTAGAGGGGGACTTCCACTTTGCAATTATTTATTAGAACTCAGGTTTGTGTTTGCAGCCATTCAACAGAAGGGGTAAAAAAACAAAACAACAACAAAAAAACAATCCACATCATCCACCCTTACCCCAGCTTCGGGGACTGAAGTAGGGGGCGGCTTCCAGTTTGCAATTCTTTATTAGAACTCAAGTTTGTGTTTGCAACCATTCAACAGAAGGGGTAAAACAAAAAATCTACATCATCCTCCTCCCAACCGCAGCTTCTGGGCGAAGTACGGGCTTTCACTTTAACCCCTGACTGGCTCTGGCTCCAGGGCTCGAGAAGCCTTCATAATCTGGTAACTGGGGCCCGGGCATCCTCGCGAAACCGCTGGGTCACTGCCTTGCTGGCAGCTTCGGGGGATCGCTGGGTCCCCGACTGGTTGGCAGCCTCGAGAGACTGCTGGGTCCCGGTCTCCCGCACCTCCTCCGGAGAACCCTGTGTCCCGACCTCCCGGACCTCCACCGAACGCTGGGTCCCGGCCTCCCGGACCTCCACCGAACGCTGGGTCCCGGCCTCCCGGACTTCTGTTGAAGACAGCTGGGTCTCGGCCTTCTTAGTGGCGACATCCTGGGCGAGGGCCTTTCCTGAGCCTGGAAGAAGAGTAGTGTGCGGAGGCCACAGCTGTGTCCCTATATCCTCTCCAAAAAAGGACAGTCACCCAAGCGGCCTGCGGGAGTAGGAGCCAGGAATCCTAGAACGCGGGTTCACTTTGGCCTTCTGGATCCATGGCAACCGCCCCCTCTCCCACCCACTAACCGGGGGCAGACTGGGAGGGCGAGACTGCAGCCCCAGCAGCCAGGAAACCCCAGGATCACTCCTACGGAGCCAGGGTTTGCTCCAGGTAGCCCCATTACCAGCCCCGTACCTTTCGCCTGGAGCTGTCGGTGATAGTCAGCCAAGTTCATGATCATCTTGATTGTGTCCTCCTGGTAAGAAGGCCTCCCAAATACCAAGATCTCAGCCTCGCCGTTAGGGTCCAACCGATTCACATGAATCAAGATTTGGGACATACCCTGGACGTGCGGGATGCGTTCTCGGTCCCTGCCTGCGCGGGTAGCAGAGAGGCTGTGAGGGTTGGGTGGCTCCCGGGGGTCTTGGGAGGGGAAAGTGGAAGGAGGAGACAGCCAGAGGGCATTGGCTACCGGGGAGGCTTGCCCTGGAACGCAGTGGGATGTGGGTGTGGGCGGCAGAAAGAAGCCGCATAGGGGCTGCCCCTCCTTGCTCCACTCACCGAAGATCTTTTCCACCAGCCAAACCTCAAGGCGAACTACCTTCGGATTCTTCAGGAACTCAGAGTGGAACCAGGAGAACCGCTTAGGAAGGTGACCAAGCACCTCGACTGGCATTGCTTTTGGCTGCATCAGTTGCACGAGCGTCGGAAACCGCCTGGGAGTGTCCATGCTGCGCCCGGTCCTGCAGGAGACAAGACCACCACAGCAAACCCAAAGGCCAAGCTGGAGCTAGGCAACTAGAACTGCGGTTCCGCCTGGGCCTTATTTAAAGGGCTTTTGGCCAGCCCCTCCTCTCCAACCGCGCCCTTTTCATTGGGTCCCAGGCCTCGCCTCCGCCTCCAGGAGCCCCGGCTTTTTCCGAGGCAGCGCAAGTGCACCGGTTCCTGAGTTGCTCTCAGTGTCCCTTCTGTCAGGAGCAGCCCTTTCCCCAGCGCACCCGGTGAGAGGAACCGGGCTCTGGGCACCAGGAATCCGCTGGTGCCCAGCGGGAGTCAACCATGGACTCAGGAAGGCGTGGACAAGCCCAGTATCTCTCCCAGAGAAAGGAACTGATACTTGCAGAATGAATACTTCATAGATCCCTCACTCGCTTCTGATCCCTGGCCACTACGTTTTCTCCCTCTGGCACCAGGTTTTCAGATTATTCTGTCACTTGCCTGAGACAGCTGAGTACAGAGCAGAATAAGCGCCCGCCTTTTTGTTTTGTTTTATTTTGCTATAGGGTCTGTGTAGTGAGATTTGCATAGTAAAAAAAAAAGGGGGGGGGATAGAAAAAAAGTTATGGGGTCTGGCTGTGTTGCCCAGGTTGGCTTCGAACTCCAGGGCTGAAAAAAATCCTCCCTCTTTAGCCTCCCCAGTGGTGGGACTATAACGCGCTTTTAATTAATGCAGCAATGAACACACCTAACCACAGATGGTTCTCGTGGTTTGGACACCAGAGGAGATTCCTTGAAAATTTTTGACATCTCTGTTCTTTTTTATTTTTAATTTTTTAAATTTGAGACAGGGTCTCTGTCACCCAGGCTAGAGGGCAGTGGTGTGATTATAGCTCACTGCAGCCTCCAACTCCTGGGCTCAAGAGATCCTCCCTCTTCAGCTGCCCCAGTAGCAGGGACTACAAGCCTCTGACACCATGCCCAGTGATGCCTCTGTTCTCTAAATAACACAATTATATTTGTCTCATCCTTCCTTTCCTTTTTCCTTTCCCTCTTCCTTTCCTTTCTCCTTTCCCTTTTCCTTTCCTTTCTTTTCCCCTTCCCTTTCTGACAAGGGTTCATTATGTTGCCCAAGCTGGTCTCAAGCAATCCTTCTGGCCTGGGCAAAATGATAAAACCCTATCGCTACAAAAAAAATACAAAAATTAGCTGGGAGAAGTTGCACACCCCTGTAGTCCCAGCTACTCGGAAGGCTGAGGTGGGACAATCACCTGATCCCAGAAAGGCTGAGGCTACAGTAAGCAGTGATGGTGCTTCTGCACTCCCCATGGGGTGACAGAGTGAGACCCTGTCTCAAAAAATAATAATAATTGAGCCAGGTGCGGCGGCTCACGCCTGTAATCCTAGCACCTTGGGAGGCTGAGGCGGGTGGATCATGAGGTCAGGAGATGGAGACCATCCTGGCTAACACGGTGAAACTCCACCTCTATTAAAAAAAAAAAAAAAGTGTGAAAATAATAACTTTTAAATGTGTTGCTATAAGATAAATAATAATTTATAATTTATTTTTATTCAGTATTGAAACACTAAAGAGAACTTCAGGTTTGCCACATTAATAGACCAAATGTATATATTCAGGCCGCGCCCAGCCGGCTGAATATATTTAATATATAGGAATGATTTAGTAGTTGGGAAATTCTTACTTGCTAATTGAGACAATTAAAGTACTTTGCAAAACAACAAGAAAAAACAACCCCATTAAAAACTGGGCAAAGCCGGATGCGGTGGCTCACGCCAGCAGTTCTAGAGCAGCCCGGCCAACATGGTGAAATCCTGTCTCTACTAAAAATACAAAAATTAGCCGGGCGTGCTGACGGGCACCTGTAATCCCAGCTACTCGGAAAGCTGAGGCATGAGAATCGCTCGAACGTGGGAGGCAGAGGTTGCAATGAGCCTGTATTCCAGTCTGCGGGATACAGCGAGACTCTTGTCTCCACAAAACAAAGAAACAAACAAACAAAACTGGACAAGGAACATGAAGAGATGTTTCTCCAAAGAAGAAATACAGGCAGCCAACAAACACATGAAAAATGCTCAGTATCACTAATCAGAAGAGGAATGCAAATTAAAATCACACCGATATATCATCATACGCCAGTCATAATGGCTTTTATTAAAAAGTCAAAAAACAGGCCAGGCGTAGTGGTTCACGCATGTAATCCCAGCAATTTGGGAGGCCAAGGTGGGCACATCACCTGAGGCCAGGAGTTCAAGACTAGCCTGGCCAAAATGGTGAAACCTCATCTCTACTAAAAATACAAAAATTAGCCAGGCGTGATGGCAGGGGCCTGTAATTCCGGCTACTCGGGAGGCTGAGGCAGGAGAATCGCTTGAACCCGGGAGGCGGAGGTTGCGGTGAGCCAAGATCACACCACTGCACTCCATCCTGGGCGACAGGGCGAGACTCCCTCTCAAAAAACAAACCCCCCCAAAACAAAAACAAAAACAAAACAAACAAACAAAAAACAAAAAACAAAAAAAAACGACGGGGCATGGTGGTTCACGCCTGTAATACTAGCACTTTGGGAGGCTAGGATTTATATATCTACCACTGTCTTTCACCCTCTTCCAACCCAGGTAAGCTGGGACTTAACTACATGCATCAGACCTAGATCCTCTTAAAACAGAGATATGATTTTGTTAGATCAATATTCAATGTTTGCACTATTAGGACTTTGTAAACTATTCATAGCTGTATATACTTTACTATAATTTCTTTCCTTGACAAAGTTTTGTTTTTCTAGATATTAATAATGGATTTATTTATTTATTTATTTTTGATGAGACAGCGTCTCACTCCATCACCCAGGCTAGAGTGCAGTAACCCATCATAGTTCACGGCAGCCTCCAACTTCTGGGCTCAAGTGATCCTCCCACCTCAGCTTACCGGCATGTGCCACCACAACTAATTCATTTTAATTTTTTTTTAGGACAGGCTAGTCTTTTTTTTTTTTTTTGAGATGGAGTCTTGCTCCGTCGACAGGCTGGAGTACAGTGGTGTGATCTCGGCTCACTGCAACCTCTACCTCCTGGGTTCAAGTGATTCTCGTGCCTCAGCCTCCCGAGTAGCTGGGATTACAGGCACCTGCCACCACGCCCAGCTAATTTTTGTATTTTTAATAGAGACGGGCTTCACCATGTCTCAGTGCCTGCAACATGGCCACTGTATGCCCAGGCTGGTCTCGAACTCCTGGGCTCAAGCGATTCTCCCACCTCAGCCTCCCAAAGTGTTGGGATTACAGGCATGGGCCACAGAAACCAGCCTTATTTCTTTAATATGTGTTTTTTCCCGATCCTCAGGAATATTTACCTTGTATGCTATCTTTACTTGTGCTGGTACTGCTATTGGAATCAGTACCCTACACGTCATTTCTTACAAGGGGGAGTATAACTATAGCATTAAATTTCAAATGTAGAATTGCTGAGTCAAAGGATCTGTAAATTTCCAATTGATAAGGTATTGCCAAATGGCATCCCATTGAGGTCGAACCAACCTATATACTCACCAGCCTTGTTGCTAACATTATAATGTGATAAACATTGACATTAATTTTGGGTAAAACCAATGCATATGCTTGTAAGTGTTCCTCCTTCCTAAAAAATCATTATTGAGAAATGCAAGTAGGGATGGGTGGCAAGCAGAGCCCATGCAATGGCCAGATGTCCTCTAGGACACTTGCTGCAACCCAGACCTACAGCAGAAGTGACCTTTAACATTTGGTTATAAAAATTTTCTCCAGGGCCGGGTGTGGTGGCTCACACCTATAATCCCAGCACTTTGGGAGGCCGAGGCTGGAGGATTGCTTGAGGCTAGGAGTTCTAGACCAACCTGGGCAACTTAGGGAAAGCCCCATCTCTATAAAAACTAAAAAATTAGTCATGCATGGTGGTGCGTGCCTGTGGTCTCAGCTACTTGGAAGACTGAGGTGGGAGGATTGCTTGAACCAGGGAGGCCAAAGCCGCAGTGAGCTGAGATCACCACACTGTACTCAACCTGGACAACAGAGTGAGACATTGTCTCAAAAATAAATAAATAAATAAATAAATAAAACTTTTTCTCCAAATAATTTGTTGAAATAACTCAAGTCTTCAAAGTTTAACTTTCCAACTGTTGGTTCAAACCTGCACTGAAATTCTGGCCTTCAGTATCCTAGCAAAAATCCCCGTTTGCAAGATGTTGAGGTGTATTGGAGAAACCGCCATTTTAAACAACAGAAATCCAGCTCAGATCGAAGTAGACAGAGGGCAAGGCAGGCATTCCTAAGGACCAAGTAGAACCCAACTGGAGAGGAAGAGGACACATTCAACATGCTGTGGAGGAGGGAGAGTGCGTTTTATCCAGGATTACATGGGATAAATGCAAGGACAGGCTCAAGTTTCCCACATGCAGCATTTCTCAATCCCATTTTCCTTGGCAAGAGTTCTTCTCGTTACTAGGCTCTTCCAATATAGACTAAGCTCTTGCCCTGGAAGGACTCTCTGTACTCTGCAGATTTCCTAAGAAAGAAAAAGCCGCTGTCTGTGGAGCTGGAAGGGGCCGTGACAGGACCCAGTCAGCCAAGGGCCCCCGACCCCTCCCCAGCTGGGACCTCGGGCTGCACCCGGGCTGCGCTGGGTGGGGTGGAAGCGCCCCCTCGCTGTACAGAGTCCCTCCCATAAGCCCTGCACTCCAGGCCCGGTGGCCGGCTGGGCCGCCTAAGAGCGCCTAAGAGCAGAAGGACACAGGAGCCGAGGGGCCTCCAGACCTCACGCCTAGTTCAGACCCCCCGCCAGGACCCCTAGCGCTGTTGGCCATGCCGGCCTCCCCACCCTCCGGCTCTTACGGGAGGTGATCAGGATCCTGGAGTCCTTGCCTGAATGCAAAGTAAACGAATAAAAGTAATCACAGTTTAAAAAATCTCATAGTACTGAGGTGTACAAAGTGAAGAGAGGCCGGGCGCGGGGGCTCACTCCTGTAATCCTAGCACTTTGGGAGGCTGAGGCGGACAGATTGCCTGTTCTCAGGAGTTCGAGACCAGCCTGGGCAACATGGAAGCTCGTCTCTACTAAAAATACAAAAAAATTAGCCGGGCCTGGTGGCGCGCGCCTGCAATCTCAGCTACCCGGGAGACTGAGGCAGGAGAATCGCTTGAACCTGGGAGGAGGCTGCAGTGAGCCGAGATGGTGCCAGTGCACTCCAACCTGGGCGACAGAATGAGACTCCATCTCAAAATAAACAAACAAAAAACAAAATCCAAAATAAGCGGAGGAGCCAAAGGGGAGACAAGAAGCCAATGTGTTTATTTTGGGACATGTAGAAGCCTCGAGAACATGAAGATGAAAAAGTGTCTCTACAAAAACAAAATAAAACAAAACAGAAACAGAAACAAACAAACAAAAAACCCACAAAAATTAACTGGGCGCCGTGTTTTGTGCCTGTAGTCCCAGCTACTGGGGGCTGAGGTGGGAGGATCACTTAAACCTAGGAGGTGGGGCCGGGTACGGTGGTTCACGCCTGTAATCCCAGCACTTTGGGAGGCCGAGGTGGGCGGATCACCTGAGGTTGGGAGTTCGAAACCAGCCTGACCAACACGGAGAAACCCTGTCTCTATTAAAAATACAAAATTAGCCGGGCGTGGTGATGAATGCCTGTAATCCCAGCTACTCAGGCAGGAGAATCACTTGAACCCGGGAGGCAGAGGTTGCAGTAAGCTGAGATCACGCCATTGCACTCCAGCCTGGGCAACAAGAGCAAAACTCTATCTCAAAAAATAAAATAAAATAAATTAGCTAGGCATGATGAATTATGTATATATAAAAGAGTTTTGGATTAGACACTTAGAAAGTTGTAGGAAACCATCCAGAGCAACACTGTCCAACTGAAATAGAATGAGAGACAAATAATACTAACTTTCTCATAGCCTCAGTAGAAAGAAACGTGTGAAATGAATTTGAATATTATATCTTATTTACCTAAATAGATTCAAAATATTATCATTTTGGCTGGGCACAGTGGCTTGTGTCTGTAATCCCAGCACTTTGGGAAGCTGAGGTGGGTGGATCCCTTGAGTGCAGGAGTTTGAGACCAGCCTGGACAACATAGCGTGACCCTGTCTCTCTTTTTTTTTTTTTTGAGACAGTATCTTACTCTGTCACCCAGGCTATAGTGCAAGAGCGTAATCTTGTCTCACTGCAACCTCCACCTCCTGGGCTCAACCAATTCCTTGAGCCTCAGTTTCCCCAGTAGCTAGGGCTACAAGCATGCACCCCCACACCTGGCTAATTTTTGTCTTTTTTGTAGATACTGGGTTTCACCATGTTGCCCACGCTAGTCTTCAACCCCTGAGGTCAGACGATCCACCAGCCTTGGCCTCTCAAAGTGCTGGGATTACAGGCATGAGCCACCCCATCCAGCCAACAAGACCCTGTTTTAACTGAAAAAATGAAAAATAAAAAAAGGAAAAAACAAAATATTGTAATTTTAACATATAATCAGTCTAAAATTATCAATGAGAATATCTAAATTTTTGATATTAATGTCATCAAAATCTTACAAGTAGCTTACACTTACAGCACATCTCAAATCAGACTAGACACATTTCCAGTCCTCATGTGACTAGTGACTTTTGTATTGGACAGTGCAGGTCCAGAGTGACTTTTCTTGAAATGCAAAGGAAGGTACCATGGAATAACATGTTTAGGAATAAGTAAGGTATACAGAAGTAGAAGTGAGGGTTGCTTTTCATAAAAGTCTGGGTGACAGGAAAAATGGAGCTTGGGCAGCAAGTGGAATGGGAGATGGGAAATTGAAAGTTTATTATGGCTGGGCATGGTGACTGACACCTGTAATCCCAGCACTTTGGGAGGCTGAGGCAGGAGGATCAGGAGGTCAGGAGTTTGAGACCAGCCTGGCCAACATGATGCAACTCCATCTCTACTAAAAATACAAAAATTAACCGATGTAGTGATGGGTGCCTGTAATCCCAGCTACTCAGGAAGCTGAGGCAGTAGAATTGCTTGAACCCGGGAGGCGGAGGTTGCAGTGAGCTGAGAATATATATATATATATATTGCACTCAGCCTGGGCAACAAGAGCGAAACTCCATCTCAAAAATAAAATAAAATAAAATAAAATAAATTAGCTAGGCACGATGAATTATATATAATATATACATATATACATACATATATATATATGAAGAGAGAGAGAGAGTTGATTATTTGGCCAGCTGTGCTGGCTCACACCTGTAATCCTGTAATCCCAGCAGTTTGGGAGGCCAAGGTGGGCAGATCACTTGAGGTCAGGAGTTCGAGTTCAAGACCAGCCTGGTCAACATAATAAAACCCTGTCTCTACTAAAAATACAAAAATTAGCCGGGCATGATAGCTGGCACCTGTAATCCCAGCTACTGGGGAGGCTGAAGCAGAACCGCTTGAACCGGGGAGGTGGAGGTTGCAGTGAACAGAGATCGTGCCACTGCACTCCAGCCTGAGCAATAGAGTGAGACTCTGTCTCAAAAAAATTAAATTTAATTTAAAAAATAATAAAAATAAAAACAAAGAAACCCAATTCACTCTACATACTTTAGCATTATTCCTGAGAATAATGACCTTATCTTACATAATTGTGGTACACTTATCCCACTCTAGAAGTTTCTAAATTTTAGAAGTTTCTAATACTACTTTGAAACATAGGGCATATTACAATTTCCTTCATTGTCCTGAAATGCACCTCCAATCTTTGATTCAGAATTATTTGAACTATGCACACAGCATTTAGTGTCTCTTTAGTAAATTAATAAAACAGTCCTCTTTTTGTTTTCAGATACTGAACCAGAAGTCCATTTGTCCCATTATTGGTGATGCTAACTTGGGTTAACTAGTTCCTCAACAGTCTTCATCTGATAGTTTTAGCTATTGATGATCATTTTCTAAATTAACTATACTGGTGATTGCAAAATAACCCATAGTTTGTGTGTGTGTGTGAAGAGGTCTGCCTTAAGAAACAGTAAATAATGTACAGCTAAGGGGGTATTAGGTGTTACCAGGACTGGAAATGCCAGCTTAATCACCATCTGTAAAGCCATAAAACAGTGAAATCACACTCTCATCGAGTGAATCCAGTGCATCGCTCCAAACACTATGTTTAAAAAACGAATAAACCAAATTTATTTACAGACGAGCCAGAAGCCTGGACCGGTTTTGGCCGGAGTACGCAGGCAGGGCCCAGGCGAGCTTTGAAATCCCGGTAGGTTCAAAGGCTCTAGAGCCAGGGGCTTGGAGGCACGCTAATCCCTTCAGGTAAGACAATCAATTTCCGAATTTCGGGTTTCTCTTTTGTTCAATGGCAGGAGTTCCTCCAGAGTTCCAGGGACGTTCTCCGGGTCGCCAGCAAAGTGGAGCCGCGGGTCCTGCTCCTTACGGCCGAGGGGATACGGACCCTTCTTTGGAACGTGTGAGGCAGGAACTGGATTTGGCAGCTACTGGGTGGTCCTCGCACCATCAAGCCTGAACGCCGCTTTCCGAAGTTCAGGTCCCACCGGTTGTTCCCTAGGGGAAGAGTCAAGAGCGCCCTGCCCCCAGCCATTCCCAAGCCCATGGGATTCTGGTGCGAAAGATACAGGTCAATGCAGGTGGAAACCCTAGTTAACTTGGAGACAGCTGGGCCCGGGTGAGGCTCTCCCGAAGTCGCGGGAAGCGGAGGAGATGGCAACCCGCTGGACCGCAGCCAGGGCGGCCGGCCGCGGACCCAGGGTCCTGGCCTGAGTCCTGGCCCGGACCGGGGGGCGGGGCCGGGCCGGGGGCGGGGCCACCAGGTGCGAGGCTTTACCAGCCCTGAGGCTCGGCCCGCGCGGGAAGGCCTGGCGTGCGCTGGAGCGTGATTTTGGTTCTGAGGGTCATAAGATGGGAACTCTCCCGGCACGTAGAAATATCCCGCCGTGGGTGAAAGTTCCCGAAGACCTGAAAGATCCAGAGGTGTTCCAGGTCCAGACGCGGCTGCTGAGAGCCATGTTTGGTGAGTGTGCCCAGTACTGGCGGGCTGCCCCGGCTCGGGAGTCTCCGCCGGCCCGGGGCTCTCACCTCTTTCCCCCAACAGGCCCGGACGGATCTCGAATCCCTTACATCGAGCAAGTGAGCAAGGCCATGCTCGAGCTGAAGGCTCTGGAGTCTTCAGACCTCACCGAGGTCGTGGTTTACGGTTCCTATTTGTACAA